GTAGGAGTAGGAGTAGCAGCAGTAGTGGTGGTGGTGGTAGTAGTCGTAGTAGTAGTCGTAGTAGTAGTCGTAGTAGTAATACTAATAGTAGCACCAGAAAAAGTAGTGGTAGTAGCCGTAGTCGTAGTCGCGGTGGTGGTAGTGGTGGTGGTGGCAGGGTAGGGTCTTAAAGCGTGGAGGTTTGCGGCCACAGCCTTCATTTTGCTCACTGCCCTCCTACAAACATCACCGACTGTACTGATATGTCATACTAAACTATTTTTGGTCAATATCGTAAAAAAAGTCGCAGTTCAGTCTTGTGGCGGTGTGGCATACTAGCGTCCTGCTACAGGCAGTTGTTTTGGTAGCCTCGGTGCCACATACATATACATACATGCCCACATTCATTCCCGGCTTGTGAAGGAGAATTCATACAGAGGAGCTGATTTGCTCTGCGGAAAAGTTGGCGGTTCCTTGGACGATTTGAGCAGTAGCAACTTCTGCGCCGATTTGCAGTACCGCAACCAGGTTGTGTCACACTCGGGCTTTCTATACCTTCTTGCGAATTATGGCCACGCACCCTGACAGAAGTTTGCCATTACTGAGTTAGTGGAAGTGCTTGTGCAGCAGTTCTATCACATCTTTGCATGTTGCATTCCTGAGGCTGCTCTTGACGGCAGCATGGGAGGACATGGAAGTTTCAAGGGTCCCGGTCCAGTTGGAAGGCCTGGTGCTGCTCCGAGCCGTGGTCGAACGTGAAAACCGGAAAAGAGACAGCTCGGCTAGTGCAGGCAGCGTAGAGCTAGTAGAGCCTTAGAGCGCCGGACTCGCTCGTTGCCTTTTGGAGTTTCTCAGCGAGAGCGAGGTCTGCGTACACTATGCTTGCCAATGTTGCGGCACGTGACTTGCCAATTGTTCCAAGGATCCTGACATATCCAAGAGACACTTGGCCTCAAGCAGTGAACATTCTCCTTATGTTCTTCGTACAAGGTCGTATGCGCTGCATGCCACGTTCAATGCCCACCTTCAGGATGCACCATTGCTCGAGAGACACTTCCGGACGTGGTGGTCACAAGGCGAGCTGCGCTCGGTGGCTTTACAGCCTACACAGCCCTCGTCTTGAACTTTGAGGCTGAGCTGGATGGCCATTTCGGCCATTCTTCTTGACGGCAATGCCGTGCTTCGCAGTGCACCAACAAGGCGAAGAGGTGTTGGATCCGGAGGCACTCGCACCATGGACGGACCGTGGGCGGAAACGTGTCAGAAGAGGTCATGTTGATTCCTGGCAGTCTGGAGGAACGAATCTCCTTGTGAGAGTTACCTGCATGGAGCGTCTCCCCCGGCAGCTCAACTCAACGCTCTCAACTCTTACGCTTACGTTTTATGCGATCACGAAGAGACAACGGCGACGAAAGCGCCTGAATCGCGCGATCTTCCGCCGCGGATCCTACCGACCTGGAGCATGCAGTCTCGGAAGCCGCGTGAAGGTCCAAACGTCCGGTTGACTGCAGAAAAGGCATGGGGCACGACAAAGGCACACAGACAGTTTCTGTTTCTGGAGGAGCTACTCGGCTCCTCTCTTGTAAGGGCTTCGGGCCTCAGCCGGTTCAAGTTCAAGCCGGCGTGTTCTGTGATTGCCGTCCGTGTGCGGCCTGTAGGTCGGGTCCCATCACGGCTTGCTCGTCTCGAAGAACGGCACGGTGCTTGCGTTTTCCGCGGGGTCAGAAATGTTTCAATGCCTGTGCTGAGGTGTACAAGCTGTTCATGGCCGGAGAGACGACTTGCCAACTCAGAGATCATCTCGGCTGTTTGCGAGAGTTACGGTAGTGCTCCAACATGTGAACCTGAAACTGATGTAGCCTTCAGGCCAGAGCTCCTGCGTGCCATAAATTCGGCCCAGCAGGCCAGGCCCTCTTGCAGCTGTTGTCGCGAGTGCCCTCCGTCACCTACGCCGCTACGCGTCACTGCAGGCGCGGGCAGGGCTTCGTGCGCCGTGCCGGTTTCCCGGCTTGTGGATGCACTTGGAGAAGCTCAGAACATTTCTCGGTCCAGAAGAGTCCCGATCTCTAAGGTCCTCCTGCAACGGAAGGGTCACCTTCATGTCGGTCCTGGTGCAGACGCATCGTGCCGGACCGACCCGTGGAAGGAAGGTGCATTTCACGCCAACATCTGCTTCACAGAGTGGCCAATGGCAGGCTCGAGGGCTCCTGCCTTCGGAAGGAAGGCAATGATGGCCCTCGGTGCCTGTGTCAGGACTGCTCAGTTTAGCGGCTGAGCAACAAGTGCATCCGTGATCGCGGCAGGAGGAGGCTGAAACTCTGGCATCTTGCCTGATGCACTGTGAGGCGACCGAGGCTGGGTTCTCGAGATTTCCCGAGCCGAGTTCTGGGACAAGCTGGGAGTTGGGAAGCCCGGCGAGGACGTGGTGGCACCGCCACCGAGCGTACCTGCACCGAAAACTGGTGCATCGGTCAAGGCTGGCGAAAGCCCCGGATGTCCAATTGAACAATGTAGTGTAGATTCCTCTTTTCGAGGCATCCAAAGCTGATGCGCTCACAGAGCCGCGATATTTGCTGTATGCAGCTTGGCCGTGTTTCCGTGCGGCAATCTCGACTTCAAATCGCGATTGTGCCGGGTTGGAAGTAGGACACTCGCTACCACATCGGCTTCATGGCACAGGCACGGAGGGCATGTCTTTGAGGTGCCCCCCACGAGTGAGGCAAACTGGGCCGCCCAGCTTGCAAAATATGTGTTTGTCAGAGGAACGAATCTGCCGGGAAGAAAATACCATGCAGAGATGCCATGCGGCCACTGACGGACGGCAGTTGCATGTTCAGCAGCGCTGCACACTACACAGGCAAGAGAAAGAAGGCACGTCGACGGGTGAAATCTGGCCTTTAATGAATTGCATTGGAATTGCTGCTCACAATTCGTGCCGGTTGCGGACAAGACTGAAGCTGCACGTCAGGTAGCTTTTTCTACGCTCCCGTGCTGGAGCTGCAATGCAAGTGCCTGCTTGCTAACCAGTTTAAACCTCAGGCCGCCTCACCGCCGGCACTAGTGTCATTGTTTTACTTTATCTATACGTGCGACACTCGTGCTCTCGCTTTGCCAGTATTATCCCCTTTGCTCGCATGTAGTATGTATGTACGTGGCTAAGCAACTAGCTGTTATGTAATTTTGCATGTGAGTAAGTGAGAGAGTATGTATGCTTGCGCGGCCGGGGCTTGCTTGCTCGCTCGCTTGCTTGCATGTAGGCATGTGCCACATCTGCGCTCGTCCGTGTGTGGTCATCCATGAATAAAGGAACATCCCCAGCTCCGATTCCTGTGAACTGTTTACGGATCTCTGCCCTTGCAGGATTGCTTTGTGACTACAGTGCCGGCTGCAGCTTGCTTGCCTGGCTATCAGTCGTTCCGGATGCGAACGTCCAGAAGCCTTTGCTTCTAGGAACTTCGTTGCACTTGTTTTGTCCAAGCCATCCCTTCGACTGTCGTCACAATAAAGTATGAGACCAGCACCTCGGCATCGCTGGACATGCCCTGATCAACGCAGAGAGAAGCCTCGCAGCCCCTCAGCACCATACATGTTCGGAAGGTTTGCTGCGGGTCTTTGGAAAGCCTCTAAACTCTAAAGCAGCTTTCATTTCAGAACATGCTGAAGTCTGGCAGGGGATAGTTTGTGTTCTTCACAGCTCCTTAACGTGGATGTTTCGCTGCACGCGAACATCCAGCCAAAAACCAGCTTCCCCTACCTCCGACGCGTCATTGCTCAGTAGATTGGATGACGGGGCCAGGTGGAAGTCTTCTTCGTTGCCCTTGAACTCGTGTCCCAGCTAAACAGGCTTGACCAGTGCATGCCAGCCACTCGCCCCAGAGGGCTTCGCGGGAAACAAACGCATGACAGGCGCCTCAACACTGCGTGCAAGGATGCTGGAGGTGCTTGCGGTTTTAATGACTGAAGGATCGATTTCGCGCATCCACAATCCAGATTTTCAACACCGACGATGCTACAGGACATGGTTGCCAACCGTGGACACTGGTGCTGCCGCCTGGGGCTCATATGGACATAGGGACTAGTGCTGGATAGCTTGCTTTTATCGCATCAGGCCGTGGTGCTGGGTACCTCGGTGGTACCATGCGGATGCATCACGGGGTAGACCGTCGGGGCCTCAAAGGCACACTTGTAACCAGCTCTCAACGGATTGTCAGCGTGTTGGCACCACCTGTGTTCTGAGGTGGAGCGACCTTTTCAACCTCGAGGGTTTAAAGGCTGAGGCTGCCAGCCAGTTGTGCGTCTTTAGTAAAGCTACGGTGTTCCGCAGTGTTGCATGTTAGAGCAGCCAGGTGGTGGTACGTGACTACGCCAGTCTCGGGAACTCCGCAGTAGATGTGGGGGTGGGGGTCCCGGAGATATTGTCACTAGCGTTCAGACTTGTTCGATGCACTGCTTTGTAGGTGGTGTTGGTGCCTGGTGGTCGAACCTCGCAGCTCAAGGCCCTTCAAAGGTGCTTTGTATAGGCAGGAGCAGGGCCAATCCTCGAAGGATGGTCATGGTGACTTTCTGGGCTTCACCAAGGACATGCAGGCCTCGCAGACCAGAAAATATACGTCTCTTTGCAAAGCTCTTGACGAGGCCTGTGAATCTCACGGCCAGCAAGTTCCCCAAGCTGGCAGGCAGCGTGCAGCTCTTGGCTGTCAAGCGCGCCTTGTTATGACGGGTCAGCTTCCAACACAACTGAGGCAATTCAGTGGTTTATTCTGGGTGTGCCGACCTGCAGTGGCTTCCCGCATGTGAAGGGCGCTGCTCCGTTGGGGCTCGAAGGTACTGCGACGAAGACCTCGCAGTAAAGAATCTGAGATGTGGAGCAACTTGGCTCCGCAAGGATGTTCCCTTCCACTTTTCTTGATTTCCGCCCTGACAGCCTTGAGGTTGTGAGAGAGAGCTCTCTCAAGGCAGAGCATGGTCACCTGCCTTTGGTTCGATGCTCATGTGACACGTGCAACTCAAAGGGCTTGGTGGACCTCGCCGAGAATGTAAAGGGGAGGCCCATGCCAGACTCGAGTGCGTCCAGCCTTTCTACTAGTGGCTTGGCTGTGAGGAGCCTGTTGATAAAGCACCTCGATGCACTTCGGCTGCCCTGCTGCAGATGATCGGTTGATGCCTGGTTCTGGATGGCAAGGGATTGCGAGTGCGTCAAGACTCACCGTGTGCTGTATCATGCTGTATTGCCTGGCAGCATGCTCGTGAAAATGATGATAACCGTGACGATGACGACCATGAGGCTGAGTTATGAGTTGTTATCAGGATGAACATCAGGATGAACGCACGAGAACAAGGATGATGAGGACTTGAGACTCGTGAGTACGAAGATGGTGATATACTGATGAAGACTTTTGCCATGGTTCTTCGAGTTACACCTCTGACAATGTCTCGTCTTATTCTTCTAGTGTTTCTAGTATCTATGATTATGGGCATCACCTAAGTCGTGTGACATCATTTCATTTCGCATCGCCTCGTTTCTCATATTTTTCGTTTCGTTTCTTTTAATCTCATTGCGTGTCGCGGTGTTTGTAGTTTGTTATTTCATTGGGATGCAGAGTTGTTATGTCATGTCATGTCATGTCATGTCATAGCATGTCATGTCGTGTCATGTCAGTTCATTTCACGTCCTGTCGTTTCCACTGACTTTTGGTGGACAGTTTCAGCTTGCATCCCAAATCATTTCATTCCGTTCCACTCCAGTCTCGTCATTCCTTCATTCGTTTATTCTTTGCTGGATTGGTTCATTCCTTGCTTCCATCCTTCGTTGACTCCTTTCTTCCTTGCCAGCCGTTTGGTTGATTCACAAGTTGATTCCATTCATGAACCAACTTATTCATAGATACCTTCACCGACGGTGGAAAAGGTCGTCCTGCAAGGAGGTGTCGTAAACTGCATTGACCCATGCCATGGTGTACCATGAGTCTTCCGCTTCGCGCGTGAAGGAGATTTGCATTCAGAGAAAGAGGCTTCGGAGATCAGGCACCCGTGTAGCACACCACTCCAGAATCTCGTGTTGTGTATTTCTCATTCTCTGTCCGATCACGCCCCACGTCGAACGACTGCAAGCGGTTGACCATATGCACATGTTTTTGTGCATATGTATGCCTATGCGTATGCATGCATGACTATAGCAGAAAAAAGAATGTATTTTGGACGGAACGCTCTGCATTTCGAGACGGGAGAGCTGCGAGGCTTCACCGTCCAGAAGGCTACCGGGACGGTCTCTGATGCTGCGGTTGAGCCTATACAGCCTGACAGTGCAAGGCGGTCTGGTCATGAAGTTCCAGCACATGCAGCGACCTCATTCTGGAGCGGCTGTGCTCGACACTTCACTAGATTCCGCGTTCTCAATGTTGCAAGCCAATATCTTGCCGCATTGACATGTTCGATATGCAATAGATAGTAAGCCACCAGCAGAAACTCGACTTCCCGTGGTGACGATCTTGCCAGTCTACCCAAAGAGAGGATCAGAGGAGAAACTGCCGAGGCTTGCTCCAGCTCCGGCTCTTGTGACAGCAGCTAAGAAGTTCGCAGACTTGGTGCTGGGCCCGCCGGATTCCCGGGCAGATCAAACTGGCAGACAGGTTAACATCAGATACCCAGGCTGCCCTATCTCGGGGTGCACATTCGGCGGAATGACTTCGTCGTCACACACGCCGTGGAGCTGACGCTGTTTGCAGAGCTGCCAGCGTTTTTAAACTGCGTGGACAATGTTGAGCATGGGCTCAGTTCGGACAGCCCGTCATCGTGGTTCGAGCTCCTCGAGCAAGGTACACACTAACAGGGTTCATCGGCCCAGATGCGTGTGACACAGCGGTGTGCAAGCTCTGATTTTGGAGGATCCCATATTCGTGATAGACCTTTGGGGAGGCTAGAGCCGACAGAGTCTAGCCATGAGCCATGGCATCGTCGCAGTCGGTATATGATGCAATTCAAGCGGTGCCGAACACTGGCGCCTGCCATCTTCGCTTTCCTTGCAGGCGCTGATAGTTGAAAGAACGGACGAAGATCCGACACCACAGTTTCACAGTTTTTACGAGGAGCACACGGAGTGAAGAGAGAGTCCGCAGGTGGAAGACTAAGACAGTCGCATGCATTGCTCGAATCGTCACAGTGCGTGTTGGAGCCTCCGTTTCACGCACCGAAGGCTTCTTCTGGCTGCAAAAGGGGCTTCGCAGCTCCGAAGAAGAAGGTCCTGACTTGGCAAACTTGATCGAGATGCCCATCGCGGAGCAGGAAATGCTGTGCAAGCTGCGGTTGGTTCAATGGGTCGGGGGTTCAAGCACTACAATGCATATTACGCCTAGTATCTCCTAGTGCTGCTTCCTTGTCCTGCTCTGCACCATGCTTCAGTAAGTTTGCCCTCAACTTCTGCCTGGCTTGATTGTGAGACCAGTGGCGCTTTCATGCATCACCCGTCTCCATGAGCAAAAACGTGTCGGGATGTGTATAACAAAATGGGAGATAACAGAGGGATGTAGTGAACCTTGCCAACGTGGCACACTGTATAGTCTGCACTTTATACCAGAAGACCAAAATCTAAATGTGATTACGTACGTGCAGCCTCAATGCGTGTGTGTGTGTGTGTGCCTGTCTGTCTTCAAGATGCACAAATTGATGCAGGAGGTGGTCGAATACGATAGAAGGACGCACGTACCAACATGTATATATATATATGTATATATACATACATATATAGGTATAGATATAGATACAGGACTGAATAGAGCAGCGTAGCAGAGTCTTACTCATACTCCTTCACGACGATTCTGCCTGATGACTGCCAGCTTTCTCACACAATGCCCAGAAAAAACGAAAGCCGCTGCTCAACAACTTGATGCTGACACCGCTTCTGTCAGGACGCAGTTGAGCTTCCTTCGGACTCCAAAGATGTGGGCGCCCCACTCGTGACCGAAGGCCATACAGAACCTCCACAAGAGCGCGGCAGAATGGTCGCCGTCGTGGTTGTAGGCCAGTCGCGCTTGCTCCTGCGTCTCATCACGAAAGCTCGTATGACCAGAGAACTTTCAAGCCGGGCTCTGGATGTGCTGAAACTGCGCGGTATTTCGACCGTGTTCCGCTCGCATGTGCTCCACGTGCTGCAGCCTTTGCGCTTAGACGGTTTCATTCCGGAGTACCTGCTCTGTGTAGATCGGATCGAGGGCCAGCTTCCCCCAGAAGTGGCGCAAGCTTGGACCTTTGCTGCAGCCAATCAGCTGCGCAGGATGAAGGCATGCCTTAAGAGGGTGCAAGAAAGAGAAGCTCTGCGAAACCAGAGCTACAGTTTTTTTGTTCGTCTGAGACCTGATTTTCTTGTCCTGACGGATATCCCCAGCTTGCGCACATCAGCTTTAAACAAGGGCTGTGTGCTGGCCAGACTGCGGGCAGCCATAAACATTGCTGGACTGACGAATGAGCATCTCTCCTACTGCTATTGTGGCAAGGGCTGTTGCTCCAAGAACATCCTTAAAGGGCGTGGGGCTGGCTTCATCGTGGATGACATGCTGGCTGTGGCAGCAAGGGACCTGTTCATGCGACTCTGGCAGTCGCGGGCGAAGGAACCTCAACCACGGTCGTGGCCTGTCATGGCACCGATGGCAGAGACTGGCTTTACTACCAGCATGCTCCAGAAAAGAATTCCGGTCTGTCCGCTGGCATTTCGTGGACTCCCGCTCGGGAGCTCCAACAACGGCCATGCCGTTGAGGCTGCAAAATGCGGCTATGTGGAGGGTGATGCTGCCGTGCCGCAGACCTCTTGCGGACCAGCAAAGGCAGTTGCCGACCAAGTGCACTTGCTCATTGCGTCCGAAACGTGTGCAGCCGTTGCTCACTGCATGACCCTTGGGAGCCGTGTCAGGTGACCACCCCGAGCGCAACAGCCGCCGCCTCGAGAATCAACCGGCTGCTGAAAAAGCCTCGGCCTTAAAGCGCGAAGGCTGCTACAAAGGGAAGGCCGCCTTCCGTCAGCTCCGCCTTGCCAGGAGGCAACTGGAGCAGGTCTTCGTTGCAGGTGATGCCGACGAAGGCAGCACGGTGCCCATGTCAGCAGCCGATCCAATGGATCTATTCTTCGCAATTACTCTGCTGCAGCCGATGTTGCAGGCTTTCGTGCTGATCTCCGTTCAGGCGTAAAAGTTGCCTGTGCCTTACAGCTGACCAGCAATGACGAGCCCTTTTGCGTCTCGTTATGTCGCAGACCGCAGACTTGCAGAGGCTTTGTATTTCTTCTCGCAAGACGATGGAGCTGAGTTGCCCGTGGCTGAGCTGTGCCGCTGCACAGCCGAGGGCCCTGAGATTCTCTCGGCAAAGGCCCGAGCTCCGGGGTCAGGAGGAGCTCGTCGAGCTGCAGCTTGCATCACAGGCAGAGCACGGGCCCCGGTAACCGAGTCTTTTTATCGGCGCTTCTGAACTTGCAGTGTTGCAGTGCTGTTGTGCCCTCAGGTACTTCATTGGCTCTGCAGGATCAGCATTCTCGGCAGCCGTGCGTCGACAGCGGCCTTCGGCTTAGACTCAAAGGGTCGTGGTCCAGGGACCTAGATGGACGTGCCCCTGTAGTTGCGAAACCATGACATTGGCCTTTAATCGGCGAAAACAGCTGGTGCTGTTTCAACCCTCTGTGTGGTCAACTTGGGGTGATGAATCGCTGGCACCCCAACATGCAGGGCGTCTTCTGCCGTTGGAAGCAGAGGTCACAGAACATGGACCACTCACCGGAGACACATGGAGAGAGACTGCGGCTGTCCTTGTCAAGCTCTGCAGAAAGAAGCACGGAAGCTGTGCGGCTCAGATTTTTCCGCAATCACCTCCCCCGTTGTGCTGCGCTGAAGCCAGTCGGCCCCCAACGTAAAAACGCGACGAGGTTGACGGCCTCGGCCTGATGTGGAGAGCTTCGCCGCTTTTTGAAACAGCGATTGAGGCAGCGGCTTGGCCATCCACCGTCAACATCGGACGAGGCTCGAAGATGCAGAATGGTGTCCGAAATACACGACATGTGTCGTGTGTGTTCGCATGGGTCTACTTAGCCAGGTCTTCTGCGCCAACCTCACGGCAGAGACCTCTCGCAAGCGATGCGCAGCGGAGTAGCTCCGCAGCACTGCAGACCGCCAGTTCGCTTGGGGGCACGTTTCGTTTCATGATCTGTGACACGTTTCTGCTGGCGAGGTAGCTTCGGAAGTTGCTATGGCAGAGAAAGCAAGCGTGCAGGGTAAGTTTGTACGTAGAGCGTGGCAACCCCTTGACTTGGTGATGCTCGAAATGTGCAACTTCGCTTCGCTTGGCTTCTCGGCTCGCAGAGATCCTTATCCACAGTGGGTTTAGGGTGCTGGAGGCCGGGGGTGCATGCGAAGCATCCAGTCTTCAGATGCACAGGGGAGGAGAGCCTGAAAGGCCTTTCACACTCTGCAGTGCTCAGCAGCTCTGGGAGGCTTCTCGCCTTCATGGCGGTGCGTGCATCCTTCGAGAATAGCAACGAGGCCAAATCCGAAGAGGAGGGGGGTCGGGGAGAGCTGAAGAGGGAGTGTCTTGATGGTCGCGGTAGCTTTCGGATATGATGTCCATCTTCGTTTGCTTTGGCTCGCTGGCTTTGAGACTCTGTCAGGTGGGTGTCTTTGCCCGCCTCACGAACGCTTACTGTCTGGTCGCACTGGGCGGATCAGAGTGTCAAAGCTGCAGATAGCATCGAAGTTGTAAAATGTGGCATCGTGGACGCAGTCGTGTATTATGCAAACGAGGGAACGAGGGATGTCCGTGACTTAAACGAAACACAAACCCAACAAAGTGTTGGAGAAGAGGTGTTCGTGACAGAGGGTAAGGATCACGAAATACGGGCGAGCAACAAAGTGCTTGTAGTCGAAGATGCGTAGGCCATGCCGAGTAAGATGACTTCGCAGTGGGCATTCGAGCATCGAGTACCAAAGCCAAAGGGGTGGTCTGCAAAGTCATTTCTTGCATTGCCTTAGCTACCGCAGAGTCCGGTCGAGCTCCGGTGCCGGCACAAGTGGCCACATCAAACAAGCTATCGTGAAACATATGCTGTCTCCTCTCATTGTCACGCCCTGGCGCGCGTTGTGTTGAATCCTTGAAGCTCTTCGCAGGGCAGAGCTGCGGCCCACATCGTCCCATGCCGTGCTCGGTCTTTCGGATGCCATGACATGATCATCTGTCCACTGGGTCATAAGATGGGATTTCCAGGTGCAGCATTCTTGCAAACCATGGTGTTCTACCGCTCTTGTCTTGTCTCCAAGGAACTTCTACAGCGTGTTCGAGGCAGGTCACATGATCTGCGCCGTTTCTGCAAGTCCGGCGTGTGCCGCGTTTGTAGAAGCCGCTTCTTTCCGATGCAGCTCGTGGCCCGACAGGGCGCCGTAGCACCTCGCCATGTAGCAAGCAGCATGGAACACTGCCGGGCGAATGGACGTGGCTGCATTGCTGCATGGTCACTTGCAGCAAGGGTACAGGCTGCCAGAGCGGCCGCAAGCAGGCTGCATCATGTCCAGATGCCCATACTGCTTGGCTCAGCACTACCGGCCTCCTTCGACAGGTTCACTCAGGTTCACTAGCTTCTCAACAGCATACATATAAATCTATATGGCTCGGTGGGCATGTCATTCGTTCCACTTTTCCCCCTTTACTTCAATTTGCCGTTCTTGGTGTTTGGCATACGCTTACGTAGCAGGCCTATTTTTGTATTCTCACTGCATTTCTCTTCTCTCCCTCTGTCTCTAGTCTGTCGCTGTCGATCGCCAGTCGCAGTCACCCTTGCCGGGCCTGAGTGTGTTTGAGTGCTCCGGAAGTGGTTCTTAGGCATGCAGCGTGGGGCCTAGGTACTGTCGTTGTGTCAGCTTTTCGCGATCGTCGCAGGAGATTCAGGGCGTCCTAGCAGATCCGACTGGCAGAGAGCTCTTGCTGATCTTCATTCACTTCACGCGGCTAGTTTGCGTCCGGGATTCCTCGATCTGTTGGTAGAGCTGCAGCACTCCAGCAAGTTGAGGTGCCACCAACTGTTGCCAACTATGGCTCGGCCCTGATTGCTTGCAAACGCGGCCTACAATGGGAACACGCTCTATCCTTATTGCACAAGATGGAGAAGGCTGGGGCCAACTTGGCTAAAAGCTTGGGGTTGCGTCGTGCATCGATGGTCCAAAATGAGCCAGCTTGATCCCTTGAGGATGCGGTGGCCAAGAACGAATTCATGTTTACCCATGCTGCTTGGCAGCAGGATCGCCAGACCTTAGATGCACTACACTGACAGTGGCTGCAATTCATTTCAGGGATTCAGGAGCTAGGGCAGCTAGGGTTGGCGACGCAAGGTGAAGAACCACTGCAGCTTGTACTTCAGCTTCACTGCTCGGCTCTGACTATACCACCATTTGCAGCAACCAAGGCAATTCTGGTGTGCATGCAATGTGGGCATGCGGCTGTGGTGCTGAAGATTTTGGAGGATATGCCGGTGGCCTCCGTTCCTCCGAACAACGTCGTCTGCGCACAAGTCATCAGCCAATGTGCCGGTCTCAGTTCTCTTCGCCACAGACGATCCCTCTTTCCTCTCTTCCCTCCTTCCCTCTCTTCCGGTGTCAGGTCAGAGAGAGCAGAATTGGCATCTGTCAATGCAAATCTTCTCCACGATGATGCGTTCCTCTGCAAGACCGGATGTCATCACCTTCACTTCAACCATCAATGCATGTGAGAAGCTTCAGCTGCAATCGCAAACCGACGTACTAGTGGCTAGAAAAACATATTCTGTAGCCGAAACAAGATGATACCACGTCCTCTTCGAAGCAGGGACATGTCATACCTCGTATGTTGGTAGCCAGCATGGGAGCTCTATCAGCTTGCAGCATGTTCTAAGGGGTTCCATATCCATACTTGCAGTCAAACAATGAATCAGTTGCGACAAACCGCATCAATACTGCATCCTAATCTTTGGCTATAGCCAAGGAAGGGCCAGCAATGGGAAACGGCCCTCCAGATGTTCAACACGATGCGTGGCATGGCCAGCATCCCGAACGAACTCACCTGCTCGGCCGTGGTACAGTCCCTGAAGCCGAGAGCAAGCGCAGCTGCTGCCGCAGGCTCGGCAGCCCACAAGTAGGGGCTTGTTTCAAGATCACTGGGATTTCCCGTTAAAATCATTTGCATGCGTGCATTTCTGCTTCTTCTTCTTCATCTCCAGGTGCTTGGCGTCTCCTGCCGAGCCTCTTGCACGAAATTCGCTGCCTGGGTGACTTGACTATACGCAGGGCCATTGCAGCTCACCTCACCGTAGATTCGGCGTCATCTAGCACATGTCCAGCCCTGAATTGATGTAGTGCGGCTTTGGAGCAGAGGTGTGCAGCGAGATGTCGTTTTCTATAATTCAGTAAATGGTGCGGCGGAGAAGGCCTCGCAGTGGAGAACGGCATTGGTTGGTGTGCAGCGCATGTTGTCGTCGAAGCTCGAGCTTGACGCAGCAAGCTCCAGTGTGCCTGCCCAAGTCTGTCGCAGTGGCTGTCTGAAGAGTTTCTCTTTCGGCCGTTCGCTGGCTTAGGTCGTGATCAAAGCCTTCGGAAACGCTGGCTTGTGGCAGCGCGGTTTGTTCGTTCTGGGCTCCATGCCCATAAACTCCATTGTAATCAACACCTCGATTGGCATGTGCTCGGGGATTTGGCAGCAAGCTCTGCACCTTTGCAGTGGACATCTGTCGAATGCGGTAACTTACACTGCCGCGATTTCTGCATGTCGGCAGGGAGGCAAGTGGGAAGTGGCCTTGAGCCTGCTGCGGCGGATGCAGGTGCAGAGCCTTTCACCAGGAACTGTGACGGTCACGGCCGCCATCACGTGCTGTGAAGCATCGCAGCAATGGCAGCAAGCGCTGGGTCTTTTGAGCCTGATGCTCCGACGACTGCTGGAGGCTGATGCCATCGCATACCGCTGCACAATAGCCTCTTGCAGTGAGGTTCACTGGCAACATGCACTTGCTATTCTTATGGTATCGTGGCAAGCACGGGTTTATGACACTGAATCATTCACAACAGTGTTGTGGTGTTTCGAAGCTGCTGCCTCTTGGCAGTTGGCGCAAGCGCTGTTGCACAACAAACCGGACAGTCTTGTGCCAGATGAAGCAAGCTATCTGTCCGTGATTCGTAGCTGCGGCAATAGCGGCAACATGGCCGCAGGTTTTGAGGTTCTGCAGGATTTTGTGCACGGCGGCTTCGTTCACGGTGTTGCCTTCCTTCCCTGTGCAATATCTGCCCTCTTCATCAATGACCCAGACTTCATCCAAGCCACTTTTGCAGAGGCTTTGCGAAGACTGAGAGAGGACACGGGGTCCCCTTGCGAGTTGATTACTCTCTGGTCTGCTTTGGGCTTGATGGGTGCCAGAAACGCCGCCTTTGAAGATGCTGTTCTTGCTGAAGTTCTGCCTAGCCTGTCTGCGTTTGACTGGGATGAACTGATGGAGCTCTCATGGGGTGCTGCTGCATGCAGCTTGGCCAGCGACTTTTTTGATCCCCTGCAAGAAGAAGCGTTGAGTCGTCTCGGCGCTGTCGCGGCTCCTGCTCAGTGCATACTTGGACTGATTTCGGCCTGTCACGCTTCTGGATCGCTCCGTGCCAGCTTCTACATGGCTGCATCGCAGCTACTGGAAAGACGCGGCAAGGATTTGGATGGACAGAGCACGAAGCACGTCGCTGCAGAAGCCCCCCCCTTTCCTGCAAGGCTCACGTTGCCTTTCCATTCATTGATCCATGCAGAAGGGGGTCAGCACATATGAGCGCATGTATTCCTCCATGTGTATACACATAGACATGTACGCGTGTATACAGCAATAAAGCAGTATGGAAGCAATTGCGAACAGATGAAACATAAGGTAGATGAATAAGACACGAGTAAACATACTATTAGCAAGATCTGTACATAAAGCATTGCCAGTTGAAATCATAGCGACAGAATTGAAAGACCACGATCACCAGGGCGGGCCCGGGGGGGGGGGGGGGGGGGCGAAAAGCAAACAGACCACCAAATGGTTTGGGGGGGGTAGTGCAAGGCTACAAGCGGGCCATCGGGATGCCACGGAGGAGGAGGGTCTGGACAGGACCATTGACACAGAAGCAGTATTTTGTTCGACGTCGAAATCACGGCCACTCCCCGAGCTGTGCCGTGAGGTTCTTGTTGATCGATACTTCCAGGTGAGTTTACGCCAGTATCTTAACTAGGTCACACGGAAACCCGAGACGAACCACTATTTTCTCGAAATACAAGGACCTGTGTTCCGACACATGTTTCGAAGAAAGGTCATATATTAATGTAAGATCATCCAACCTATATATTGGCATACACATGCATGTCCATGCTTCGCCGAGAAAGGGGTGAATGGGTGTGGCACATGATGCAGAGGCACCAAGCAAGAATGTGCAAACTGATATTGCGAATTTGTATATGTCTAGAATTCTATTCATTTATGTGCAAACATGCGAATAGAGAAACAAGTAAACAGTTCGTGCAAAAACCAAAATAAGTATGTAACACGTATATATATATATATATGTATATGTATATATACACATAGAGACATGTTCGTGCGTCCGTATGTACGCAGGGGCATATTTGCATTGGTACATGGGTGGATGCATTGAAAATAACATGACTGGTTTTGTTTACTTCCCATACATGTTTGCCTATGTGTGTGTGTATATATATATATGTATATCATACATGCGAATGCACAGCTGATTTAGTCAGGTGTACATTGCTTAGCATTAAAATGAATGGGATCACACGTGCAGAAAATTGGAATATCAAAGTGCTATGGGCGGAGAACAAGATATCAATTACACATTCCTTTCACACATGCACATACCTCGTCACAAGATAATAGCTTCAACGTCGCATGAATCCAAAGGACGTGTGAAGCGCTAGTGCCAGTGTGTATCATGTTGCGCGCATATCGGCGGCTCCCATGGTTTCACATGACTGTGTCATTCAAGACGATGCCCGGTGGCTTTGCAGGTCCCGTGCCAAAGGGTCCGAGCCGACCATCGTGCTTCAATGCTTGGAGATGGCTATCCTCATGAAGCCAGCAGGATGGGAGGTTTTCGGTCACAAAAGCGAGAGGCCGATCACAACTGTCGGCACAACTAGGCTAAGCTTCGGCAAGTCATATGCAGTGTGATGTTTCGAAAGCGCGCATCAGTGCTAGTGCAGCCAAGAGTTACTCAAAGGTGTTGCATGTCAGGTATGCTTTTTGAAGACACGCAGCATGCTCCTAAGCCTTTTAGCCTCAGGGGATGTGGCAGGTCCTCCTAAGTAATCTGGTCACTTGGGCGCACGTCTGCCCGCGCAGCACGTCCTTAGCGGACTCTTTGCTCGTGTGTGCGTTCTGCTGGTTCCTCGGTTTCCTCACTGGGGCAGAAGTGGTTATCCTTCTGGTATCCGCTAGGTGCGGTCATATTCTGTGGCTGCTCATTGGCGAATTCCTGGGACCCCCTAGAACCCCTGCCACTCCCTCGGGAGAGAGTAGGTTAGCAGGGTACCCGGCGCCCTTGAATGGTTGTCACTGTTTCCACTACTGCCTCTTCATCGCGAGTGGTAGTCACTGTGGAGATTGAGGCCATTGCTCAATCCGAGGAACCCGCTGGGTGCTGCAAGCAGCAGTCCGGGATCGTCTTGCCAAGAAACTGGTTTCGAAAAAGGCGGTGGTGAACCCCAAAGAATGGATTTCAGCTGCTTTTGAAGCTGGAACGGCCACCGCGGCTTCTTGAGGAGGCCGTTCCACCCGCAAGCCAAGGATCCAAAACAGCTGTTGGCTTGGCATCCGCCTTGACCTGGCCGCTTGGTTGGCAATTCGTCATCGTGACGCTCTAACGCAACCTCGGTCGGAGCACACTACACGCTTAGTGGCTTCTGTTTGAGCTTGGGACTTGGTGCTTTGCCCCCAAGTCTCTGAGATGCCGTGGCGAGTCCTTGGAGAAGCCACTTTTTTGGTGGTGGCTGGGCCAGCGCCCCCGGAATGGCTCCTGGCGAAACTGGTCGAACGGGAAGCTGCAACGCTGCCAGTGCTCGGCCTGCTGCTGGCTATATAGGCGGTTACTCCCGAACAGATCACTGCGGGCAACATTGCGGGCATCACTCTGGCGACCTTGAGCCACTGTTGTGGAGGGCCTTCTCGAAGACGCCGATGCCGACTATGTGGATATGGTCCTGGTGGATTGGCCGGCTCCGCTCTACAGGCACCTAACAGCTGCGGGAGAAAATTTGGGCGACCAACACAGTGTGGCCCCACAGTGGGGACGAGATCGTGAAGGCTGTCCAGGCCGAGCAGCTGGCGACCATGGCTCGAGAATGGGTTCAGCACAAGGGCGATTTCGGACACATGTGCGACAGCGGTGGAAACGCCTGCCGACGGGGTGCCAGTGCCACCGAAGGCCTTCTCAACCAGTTGCTCGAGCAGATAGGCCACTGCGGCATCGGTGGCAAACCTTCAGGCCCATGTGGATGTCATGAAGCATGCCCGGTTGGCCCGGCGCCTTGCGTGCGAGCTACAGGCGAGGATGCGGCATTGGCCGCCCCTTGTCGAGGTGGTCGGGGCAGGAGGCCTCAGCACCGACGCAAGCGCCAGGTCTACCCTTTTCACAGGCTCTCTCCGACAGCGACCAGCAGGAGGACAACGCCGACCTTTTTTTCGCAAGCTATTGGAGCGCCTTCGACTTTCCATTGCGGCGCCTTGGCAGCCCAGTTGGTGGGCGACCATGTGCCAGGGCCAGCTACGATGGAGAAGTACGTGATGGAGCAGCTCTCCATGGGATCCGAGCGGGGCCCCGGCTACTAGGCATGGGGCTTAGCCAGAGCCCTGACCCCCATCCGTGCGGGCGAGAAGGACAAGTGCCATCTGATCTTGCTTGTGTTGGTAGCCGCCCTAGAGCAATATCGGATCGATGGAGTGTGGACCTCTGCTTGGCGCTTGACCAACTTGACACCTCCGCCATTCGCGGAGTGGAACATTCATCGATTTCCGAGATCGCAGCGACGGTAGTCGCGCGACTAATAGACGAGGAAGCGCTGATGAAGCTCGGACAAAAGCCCTTCAACGAGGACAGGCCGCCGAAAGGGGGCAAAGGGCACGCGGCAAGGGAAAGCCCGAGGCCGATTTTTTTGCTTGGCGACAGGCCCCATCCTCGAGACTCGAGAGACGATCCAACTGGCATTTCTTCTGGAAGAATACGGACGCACCCTGTGCAGTGCGAACAGATCGCTCCTCGGAGAATTATGCGGAGACCATCAACAGATTCCCCTTCACGAAGAGCTTCCTGGCGGACTCTTGGAAGCTGAAAACCACGTGGGAGACTTTTTGGCCCCCTGGTGCTCATGAAGGCCTGGGTGGCGTGACGACTGCCCTGACCCGTGCCCGGGGCTGGAGGTGGATGTCCCCGAGTCTTCTGCTCGGCTTGTTGCGAGATCATTGCACTGAAAGTCAGCAATTGTCTCATGACGTCGGAGACTGAGTGCAAAGACGTCGCTTTCCTGCGTCTGACGCTGGTGAAATCGAGGACTCGAGGAGCTAGGATGCAAAGCGTCAGGTTAGACGTGCCTTATGCCCGACGATGTGCCCCATGTGCATGCAGCATCATCAGATGCATGCATCTTCGCAATCTTTCGATCATTGGCCATCCAAGCAAAGCAGCGGGGAAGGTGCGAGTATGTAGGTGCGCAGCCGTTTGCTGATCACATGTCCCGACAATCATATACGAATGAGTTGCAGTGTTAGCTATGCTCGTTGTCTCGGCACACATCGGCTTAGACCCGCAGAGCTCTTGTGAGTCAGCCTGCCATAGGTCGCGCTGTTGCCCCTCCTGTGATTTTATGCAGAATTGTTTCAAGACTATGGAACCCTCAGAGAAAATATGGCCTCACTCTTCAAGCCTTTTCCGTGTGAGGCTCCAACAGCTGCTTCAATGATCCACAGGTTTGCGTACCGAGTTCTTTGAGGCCTGGCTCGTGAGTGGGGTTAAGACCTACCGCGACTGCAGTGGCGCGGGCGTTGGCTCAATTTCAAAACCCTGGCACTCTACATCCAGGAGCTAGGTTGCGTTAACGTTTTGGAGTCTATCCCCGCTAAATATAAACTCGAAATGCAGCACTTAGCCGAAGTGTGAACCAGCTTGCCAGCAAATGGCGCCGGAGGTGGATCTGATTACACAGCTCCAAACACTAGTGGTGAAGTGCCATCGCATGTTCCCACAGCTCCGCGCTTTGTCAGTTCACGTCTGAAGCTGGTGCAACTTTTCCCAACTCAGCATTCCCGCCCATCCCACCCGAGTAATAATTTTGGGAAGACGGGTGCATAATGATGCGCTCTTGTCTTCGAATGTGAATTCCTGTTGTGCAGATCTTGGCGATGGAGAAAGCTGGCGAAGGAGCGTTCACAACAAGATGATGATACAAGCATGTCAGTCATGCTTTTTGAAGAGACGCCGTATTCTCCTAAGCTTTTCTGCCTCAGCCGCCACCTCCGCCAGACCGCGATGGATGCATAATTAAACGCTCTCAGCTGTCTTCGAATGTGAAGTCCTTTTGTGCTCAGCTTGGCGATGGAAAAAGCTGGCGAAGGAGCGATCACAAGATGATGATACAAGCAGGACTATGGCATTTCCGTGGTTCTGCAAGCATCACAAGCCTTGAAGATGCGAGATGAGTCGACATCATCGGCAGAGCGATCTGTTGGAAAGTTAATTCCTTGGTTCCGACATGTTTGGTAGACTTGCGGACGCTCATCTGGATCCTTCACTCACGACCCTTCGTCTCCCCATGATCTTCTGGCAATCGCATGTAACTGCGATGAAATTGACAGGCAGCTTTCAGCTTGGTTCCAAGCCCGATTCAGCTTGCAGAGCTTTGGCTGCATCTTAGCTTTGCCAGATTGAGCATTTCTGTCCGATGAACATCGATTGCCCCATCAGGCCGCCGATTTTGCGAGATCCATCCTTCCAATTTGGTTTCCTGCATCGGCTGGACGTTCCAAGTTCGGGACTTGTGTGTGTAGCAACCACCTATGCCAAGTATTATGCATTGGAGCTGCAGCTCCGAACAGGCCTGCTCAATCGAGACTTGGCGCATAAAGCACCGCAGTGCTTTTAGGATATGGTGCGAGTGGATACTGTTCAACGCATGAGTCATGAGGCGATTATTTCGTCGTGTCTTATGGCTGGTGGCCGTTGTCACTGCTTGAGATTCGGACCAGTTTGCACTGGGGCTTGCAGACGCTTTCCATCGCGGGCGGAAGAGGAAAGCCGAGTGCCAGCTTGGTCAAGGTTCTTGCGCATGCAGAACGAAGGGAGCAAAGTGCACAAAGTCTTTTGGCCATCCGCATCGTCACTGGCAGATGCTTCGAAGCAAGCAGACACACCAGGTCAGCAGGTGTTATGATCGCCAGAAAGGTTTAGCCGGAACCGGTTGGACAGGATATTTGCTTTGCGCGACTTGGGCTCGAAGCCGCCCCTCTGAATGCCTTGACTTTTCCTGCCTGCAACCCCAAAGTCCTGTGCTCTAATTCTCGCAACTCGAAGTGTTCTGGACCAAAACACTGAGTCCTTGCAGCTGCTACGATAGCTGTGACCCCAAGCCTTGAGCCGACAAGATTGGAAACTTTCGATGCAGCGTAGCCTGTGCAGCTTCGTAGTTTTGGGGGCGCCGAGGACGGCATCAGATACGCAGTCACTTCGCGCACGTGGGTCATCCTGTTGCGGCTTGGAAGAACATGGTTTGTTTTACGTAGAGTCTTCACCCGTCACGCATCTGTGTGCGTGCGTGTCTGCTGTTTTGCAGCAGCTCCATCCTTTAATTTAATCCTCCGGAGTTGTCTCGTGCTCTAGGTCTCAGATGGCCAATATGCAGCTATTGCCATGCGAAGCAGTAACGACTATCGGAACAACAGGCATTTCTTGCATCGCGTCTTGCCAGCATCTCCCATCGGGCAGCTCTGATTGTTGTGGCTTCCGGTCCTCCAGCTGAATTCGCCATGTCCGAGGCTACCGCCTAGAATTTGTTGCGGAGAGCCCGGTGCTGTCGGCGCTGGAGCCATTAAGCCCGGAGCTGCTCGAGTACCTTAAGATTCTGCGCGGCAAAGATGCCAGGTTCGGTGAGTCGTTTCCCTGCTTTCAGATTGAAACGTGAAGCATGTCTTCGCGGTGTCTGGGCAGCTGAGCAGGTCGTCAGAGCTCCTGCAAGCTTGGATGCATGGAGACCTTGGCGATGCTATCGATTGGCAGCAGCTCAGCTCCCTCAGCATTGAGGATTGTACGCAGGCAAGCTGATGCAGGGACGCCCGACGGTGTCTTGCTCAGACGTCATGCAAGGAGTTGAAAAAGAAAGGAGTGCGGTTTGCAGTGCAGAGTGCCGGTAAGTTTTGTATGCCAAGTCACATCCTCGTACACGCTCTTTTCTGCGCTGGTGTTCCCGCTGCTTCTGTGGCTCAGACGTGTCTTGCATGAGGAGGGACTTGAATTTGCGTGGTTTTGCCGAAGAAACCGGGCTTCCAGCGCCTGTTTTCCCTTTCCAGACCTGTTTTCCAACGAGCTGGAGAGCTGGAAACCCGGAAACTTTGGATCCTTGGCAGCAAGCCCCGCTCCTAGAACCTGCATTGCCAGGGAGGGGCAACAACAGTTCAGCACTGGACATGTTCATGTTATTTCACATTCCTATTGAGAGTCGTTGACATGCAGAGACCCTCTGTCGTCAACTGAGGACACCGAGGACGCCGCGAGGAATTGCACATCAGATATGATGAATCCGGCCCAAGACGAGTCGGAGCCGCGATCGCGGACGTGGCAATTCTCAAAGACCAAAATGTGGCTGGATGCAGCAGGAGGCTGTTTCTTCTTTTGTTTCGTAAGGCCACTAGTGGCATCGTACTGTCTCGCGCGCGTCGTTAAAGTGGTGCTTGGTGGTCTCTTGTGGTATCCCCCCAAACGCCGCAAACCGAGGTGCAAATTCAATCTGGTTGGTATGTGTATGAAAGGCAGCCAATGTCCGTGCTTTGGTTGCCCTCAGTACTGTAGCTCTTCGAACGTGGGGCAGCCGGCCATGTCTTCCGAGCCATGTCTGCATTTGCTATCTCAGGTTTGCGCATCAGAAGGGCGAACTACGGGCGTTGCCAGACCTGACATGTACGAAGCTCTGCAAAACACTTATCCAGACAGGCACGCTGTGTAAGTTTCTAGGGTGCAGCCGAAATATTCACCACCTGGCAGAACTGCGCGGCCACAATCCGGCAGGCACCTGCGATGATGCGAAATGCACCTATGCTCACAGCAAAGACGAGCTGAGAGCCACAAGTACCTTCCCGCAGAGGGGTCGTTTGTTCCATGGAAGCTGCGTTGCTAGTTGCTGTCGCTGAGCAGCTCATGCGACCGACTTCTCCATTTCGACCACTCTCTTCTGCCAAATTCTCAGGCACTTTTCACAAGACCAAGATGTGCCGGTTTTCCCAGATGGGTCATTGAGCCTTGGATCTATAGACTGCCATTGAAAGAAAGCAAAGTTAGCAAGATTAGGCAGGCATAGGCGCAGACACCGGAAAGTGCAACTCAGGCGCGCTCGGGTCGAAGTGCAACTTTGCACATTCCGACGAGGCCCTGTCTTTGCTCAGAGGGGGGTCTCTCCCCCTTCGCCCCCTCTCTGCATGCTCGTCGGCAGCATTCGGCAGCTGTAGCCAGGAGCTTCGGCCTTTGGACACCACCAGCCTGCCGCAGCCGCCGTCGCCATCAAGTCCGACTCCGGACCCGCGTCCTGCGACCCCTCAACTCTCCAGTCTCATCCGATCTTTTGCTGTGGAGTTGCATGCGGGACTCGTAGTGGGTAACAGGTACTCGTAAATGCAAATTGGCTCGGCCGGGACGCAAGCACCCGAGTATCCTCCCACCCGCACCTCTTGTCGTTAACCTTTACGTCTGCAGGCCAGATCTCGCGTTTGTGTCTCTTTGATCTCTTGTACCTTCTTGTCGATGCTTTTCGCTTGTCCAGTCCAGTAGGGCTTTGTTCTCAGAGGAGCACAGCATGTGTTGTGAGGAGGAGTCACTGAGACGATCGGAGCTCCAAGCTGCGCCGCGCAATCCAAAGGCCCCGGCTCAGGCTCAGCAGGCCAAGCCTCTTCAAGCTCCGAGGAAACCACAGATGCAACAAATTGTGCTGCAGCAGCAGCAGCAGCAACTTCAACATCAGCAGCATCAGCTTCATCAGCAGTGGCTTGGACAGCTATTTTCATTACCATTGATGGCCATGCTGTCACGTTGCATCGCTGCATCTCGGTTGAAACTCCCTGTCAGCTCCAATACCAAGGCAGTTGCAGCAGCAATTGCAGCTTCAACAGCAGCAGCTTCAGCAGCAGCAGCAGGAGCTAGTCTCAGCCTTTTGCAAAGACTGCACTTGTCAGGTATTGAGGTTATGCCGTTGCTATCGGCTTGTTGAGCAGAGATGCGACAGGAAATCTTGGAGCACCAGCAGCAGAACAAGATGTTGACACTGGCCTTGCAGCAGCAGCTTGCACTTGCCAGTCTCTTGTCAGCAGTGTTGTTTTCTGGAGACCTTGCCACTTGCCGATCTTTACCCTTCGTACATCCCGTGGCGCATGCAGCCTTGACCTTGAAAGCCTTGAGACTGACAAAGCTAGTGCGTTCCGGCCTGACAGCGCATGGCATGACACTCCAATGACTCTAATGGTTCTTCAGGTACCACTTTTGGCTCCTTCGGCCTATTGAAGGGGCTCCAGCCCTTCCAAGTTGCGACACTGCCAGTGTCAGGCCAGAAAGAGAGCAAGCGGAAGGGCATTAGCCTTAGCCGCCTTAGCCCAGACTGATCTCGAAGCCAGTAGAAGAACTTTGACCAACCTCCCGCCCAAGATTGTGCTGATTTTGTGGTCGACAGTACAAGTTCCACTAAGCATGACCAGCCGGTCCGCTTCCGTCAGACGACTTCGTTGACGTGCCACTGGCAGCTGACAGTCCTCCCGACGTGCCAGAAGATGCAAAGGCTTGGATTTGTGACGTAAGTAACACGAACAGTGACGTCCATGCGGCCAGGGACAGTGCCAGTGTCCCTTGAGGTTGCTCCGCCAAAGCGCCGCGGTGGCCGGCGGGGGAAGGGGCGCAGCTTGTCCAAAGGCAGGGTGCGGCAGAGTAACCCGCACACATTACGGGCTGGCTGCAGCCAGCGAGACTGTCCGGTTTTGTGGCGCAGGCGAGTTCGGAGACTTCAGTTTGGAGGTGGAAGAGTTCTGAGCAGCTTGAACGGTCGAACCGTCCAGAGCATGTCCACTGAATGTCCAATAGACCTACCATCAGCAGAGTAGGGCTGACTGAGTAGGGTTGTATAGACGCTAGAAAGCTTCAGTCGTTGGCATCCTGGCAATTGCTGGTGACGTCAGAATCATGTGCTGATCCTGATGCAAGTCTATATTCTCAGCTTTGACTGGGACGAACCCAGAATCACCACGGCCAGGATGTGCACTGACTATACGTGTTGTTGACCTGCTGACGCATTTCCTGCGACAGCACCATTGCCAGCCGCCTGTACAACACGGCTGATGAATGGGCTATATTGATAAGGTGTACAGAAAGTTTCAGGCAACTCTTGATCACAACAAGTCGACCTGCAGGGCATGGGCCACTCGCAAGCTTTAGACGTTGTTTTGCCAGTTGCCTGAGGCTCGGTTTGAATGCTTGGAAGTTTTAATGCTTGTGCCCTTGCGACAGATGTCGACCTCGACACAAACAAGCATGTCATGGATTCAAGGTTCGCTCGCCCACTTTGCCTGATGGTCCTTCGTCAATGCAGGCCGAGCTGTCAAAGCACATTCCGGTGGTGCACGCCACCATCGGAGGACCACGGCACATTTGCACAGCGGGCATTCTTTCAGAGTTCACAAGCACACAATCTGATCGGACTTGTTAACATTGTTACGTGTCCGACAATCAATGTAGAACGAGAGAAACACTGGCGGCTGCCGCCAAGTGGCTCTCTCTAGGATGTCGCTGCTACATCCGTATATTCTATGTATACAGTATAATTTAATATATTATAATTATAGCAGAATACAATATATAGTATGTAGTATAATGTATGTATATTTTACCCTGCCTGTTGCTTTTGTTGTCCTTAGCAGTTTCCTTACGCGACTGTATTGGCCCAAGTCCCCACGGATAAAAGGTCCACCAAGGTTGACTTACCGGTAACTAGCTGCTGGCAGCTGTGATACCTGAAACTTCAGCTTATCAGCCGCAGCTAGCTCTGATGGCTTTGGTCCCCAGTATTGGTAGTCCTGGAAATGATAATCAGGCACCCACGCGCAGAACTATTTCATGCAGTTGCTCCAAGAGAATCAACAGATCAACGGTTTCATCAACGACTGGTCATTGGAACACACAGCTGCAGAAGAAGCTGAAGCCGTATGATGATGGATGTTATCTACACGGAAGTATGCATATCAGATCTCTGGAAACTCATGCGGACGCACAGCGTGCAAGGCGTTTTTGGCCTTTGCACAACAGGGTACACATGTCTTTCTATCCCAACTCAATACAGAGATGAACGTGTGCAGGACGGAGGCTGAGCAGTTTCAGTCAAGGCTACTTCGCAGCGAGACAGATTGCCATGAGGAAAGGCAAACAGCAGTTTGGCTCACCTCACAGAACATGTCGCTTAATTACAACTCGTGCACTTCCCTTCGAGACAGCACTGAAGAGCTTCGGAAATCGCTCGACGATAATCGTTCGACGCTTCTTGAGTATCTTGGACAGGAGTTTGAGGAAATGCTTCAGTGGGAAGAGAGTGAGTGTTTTTCCTCCTTTTCCTGTGAGCCTTCACCAATTTTGAACATCTGTGGCCTTCGCAGAACTCCCTCAAGTTCCTTAGGAATCTGGTAGGGGTTGGAAAGACTGGGCATCCATGAATTAGTGGAGCCCTAGCACCCTGAAGCCTTGTGGTGCGTTTGGATTTGCGACTCACTTTCGAACAATCCACCGATACCGCCTGCGGGTGGGGCTCCAGCTTGGAAAATCGCCGTCCGCCAGGCTGCAAGAGCCGCATCCGACAAGCCGATGAAGCCTTTAAGTGGGTTCAGGAGGTTTACGAGCGGTCCGCCGATTTGGAGTCATTTCGGCAGACAGGGAAGTTCCTGACACTTGATACCAAGATTCTGGCTGCTTTGTCGCACAGGGGCGAGCTCGCTAGAAAATCATCAACTACAAGGAGTCAGAAGCTTCGGGTGGAACGGCTGTTCGCGGTAGACAAGTCCTGCTGATGGTTTGAGCGCTACTTTAAAACCAACGAAGAAGCAGGTTCTCTCTACAGCGTAGAAGACCTACTCAAAGTCGAGCCGATCCTGCTTCGCGAATTAAGGGGTTCGAGCAAGTTGAAATTCGATTTGGAGGTGTATGACAGAGCCAACGCAGGGGATGAGAAGCATACTTACGAATACCTCGTAAAGTGAGTGTGTAAAGGAGCTACTGGCAGAGAAAGAACACGTCGCAATCGCACAGCCATAGCCAAGGCTCATGGTGCACGGTATGGCGCTCCTGCATCCTCTTATGATCCTCCTGCTATCCCAAGCACTCCCCGAGGTCGTGAGCAGAAGCCCTGCCTTGCATTCCAACGTGGCAAGTGTCCCGGGGGCAACAATTGCTCATTCGAACATGTGCAAGCTGACCAATCCCGAGGAAGAACACCCCCCGAAATCCCCCAAGTGAGGACGCGGCGGTAGTGCTGGCAGTGGAAAAGGGAGAGGCAAAGGCAAGGATAAGTCCCAGACCCCTGGTCTCTTTTACCCTCGTGAGTACTACCCCCCTCATCGAGAGGGCATCCCCATCCCCTCGAGCGTTGGTCGCACGGTGAAGGAGCCGGAGCCCAAGGCAAAATCGGCGCCCGGTCGCAAAATCGATCGCGGCGACGAAAACGCGCCCCGCAACGGGCAGCCATGGTGGGCGATACGCCGGCAAGGGAGTACTTCTACAACGGCCAGAAGCACTTCTTGCTTCCCCGTGATCCTGAGGCCATCATCGGCGACAAGGAGGTCAAGTTCTCTCGCTGCGACCTCAAATTCTTGTTACTGCTCCTTCGGGGGCACGAGCTCGAAGAGCATGGTCTTAAATTTGACAAGGGGGTTGGACGGATATCGACAAGCTCCTGGACCGTTTCAACTATTGCCGTCAGCGATGCTGTGGAATCAGACAGCTACTTCGTGCAACCAAGGCCGATAGCAAAAGAAGAACCCGGTTGCTTGGAACTGATGTGCCGATGAAGGAAGCCATTGACAATTGGTCGCAGACGCGGACACGGATCTGTTCCTCGACACGCGCTGCTACAGCAACCTCGATGGCGATGAGGCGCTCATTGAGCCCGGGGATATGGGTATCACGGTGCTTTCCCTAGAGGACACCCCCAAGAAGCTAGACCACAAGACATCGCAGCAAGGACTTCGGAGCATCTTGGCAAGCGGAATCGTTCCTGGAGCTAAAAACTCCGGACGGGCCAACTGCTATCTCTCCGCGCATCGCCTCGACGACGCCGTTTACAAGAGCGGCGTACGATCCAATCAGCCCATTGAAATCGCCGTCGATACCATGAAGGCCATCGCAGCCGGATGTGAATTCATCGTTACCCAATCCGACGGAACTATAACGCGAAGCCACATCCCCGCAGACTGCATCATCTCGGCTGTGGATACCTCCAAGGAGGACTTGCCTCTCTATGTAGCCGTGGCATCAGAAGCCACCGTCGCTGGTGAGTTTGATCGCACTTCCCGCGCAAAGCGCGACTACGAGGAGGCGGCATGTTCCTCCAGCAAACCAACAGCGGTAAAGGCAAAGGCTATGCCAAAGTCGGCGAAGTTCAAGGCTAAGCCGACGGCTGCACCCATGGCTGATGTTGTCATGGACGACGTTGCGGCCACCCGCAAGGGTATCTGCTGTTGATGTTGATGTTGATGTTGAGAGCGACGCTACCGATGCTGGTGACGAGGCGCTGTTCCCGTTCGGATCCTATCCGTGCGCTCATTGCCAGGCTGTGGTTGCCGGAGGCATGCTCTTCTGCGTGCGCTGCAAGGCACCGCAGACGGACGACCTTCAAGCGTTTGTTTGAGATTACGAAGCTCCGAACAAGGCTGCTCGCAACAGCAGCGGCTGGATAACGGAAGCCCATTAGGGACTTATCACATCAGACCTTCGCCACCTCAACCAGGGGACCAGGAGGCGGGTTCAAATGAGTGCCGAAGCAACCCGGTTATCTCCCCGTAGACCCTTATAGCCTTAGTCAAGTCTGAGCACCAGGAGAGCCCACCCGCAATAAGCGAAAAGGAAATCTCCAACAAGCAACCGTGATCAGAGACGCACAAGACCGTGCCATGCAGGCCACAAGGCTATGCATCTTATGCGTCGGTGTCAGCTCGCTGGGTGGAGGACGACCAGTTCCAACGACGCATGTTGCAAGAGGGCAAATCCCATGAGGACATGCAGCGCTTCGGTTACATCGCCTGTGCCTGCCTTCCCGATCCTGGGCGAACTGAGGAGCAGCACCACCTACGTGCGGGATCCCACTATTCCTCCACAGACACAGATGTCCCGCGTAACAAAGGCATCCCAGAAGGGTCGCCGGCGGCAGCAGCCCCCATGTACAGGGGATACACTCAGGCCCACTGGGACGAGGGGAACAACCGCTCCCGTGGCAACCGAGGCGGCCGATAATCGCAAGCCGACTGGGATGAGTGGAACCGCTCCCGCCGGTATTGATTATCGTGCTAATGCTGGTCCAAACACAAGTTCTCGGCACATAGTTCCACAAAGACACACTATACTAGAAGGTGCTTCTGAACAGAAGCAAGTTTGGTCCGATCTGGCAAAAGTCCAGTCTGACATAACGCCATGGAAGCACAGCAACGCAAGGTCTTTCGATAGCTATTGTCGGTGGGAACAAGTCATCTACTGGCCAGGAAGCTCTGGCAAATCGTTCGAAGACCAAGTCGTGCACCTTAATACTATTCAGAAACTAACTGGTTGACTGGTTGCCAAGACCCCTGCAACCGTAGATGACCAAACCAATAGCCGATATCCCCAAGGGAAGACTGCCTCACGGACTACTTGGAATTCCGGCTCTCTTGGATTGAGGAGAATCTCGCCGACTGTGCCAGCTACATGCAAGAACTCACAATTTGACGTTTATCGTCATTATGTGTCCTTATTTGTCATTATTATTTGCCTTGACTGTCCAAAAAGCCTCGGGGATCTAAGTCCTGCGGTTCCCAACCTCGCAAACGGTCAATGATCTAGGTTTTAAAAACCCCAAGCACAAGAAACTCATACGAGTCGTATGCGGCATCGCAAAAGTGTATCTGTGGGGGATTGGCATGTTGAAGATCGGAATCTTGTGTTGGGTGGTGGCCGACGGAAAAAAAGTCAGACGAACTCGCCAACTTTTGTATCAGCCCTGCCATGACGTGCCCAGAATACTGGAGTCTTCGGGCATGCTGGAGCATGGCCACCTCCACGACACAAGTTTGGACCTCTCGGCATGTTCATGGATTACACAGGTTCCTGACGCTCTCCAATGCGTCGTGTGCTGGTTGTGGTGAGCAAATGTTTCAGGAACTCGAATTTGTGGAAGAGACCTGTCCCCAGTCGAGACACTTGCAGCTTCTCCACTTCTGCACAGGTAGCTGAGCACGTGCATCGTTGCGAACTGCCTTGAGGTCACTGTTGGCAATCGGCATGGGCTTTTAGTCCCAAGCATCACGACTGACCAGGCGTGTTTCGACCCGAATGATGTCATCTCTTGGTATCAACGCTGATGCTGCTAGCAAAATCGGCCGGCACACTGCTGAAAGGAGTTGGCACACCTCAGAAATCATTTGCCAGAAGGTATTCGAGTCCGGAGCCCAGCTTGGGAAACATCCTGGTTTGTATTGTGCAGTCAAGATGTCCTGTATCTGTGAGGTTCAGAAAGTTGAGGAGCGCCTGTCAGCGCTTGGCAACTGCATTGCCTGCAACGACTATGTGGCTGGACTTATGGGAGGGGTCATGCCGTGGTATGCAAGAGCCGGGGCAGCAGTGGCTTCTTGTTCATTTCCTTGGTTATTGCCTAGAGGCCAAGTGCAAGCTTTCTTCGATTTACTCGTTGCAGGTAGCGCTGGTTCACACAGATCTCGATCGTGAGACTGAAGAAGTTATTGCAGACACGCTGAAGGCCTGGTAGGTGGGCAGAAGATCTTTTTCCCTGCGAGCTGCAACCAGCGGGGACGGCAGGGAGGCAGGCAGACGGCAGGCAAGCAGGCAAGCAGACAAGCATGCAAGCAGGCAAGCAGGCGGGTCGGCAGGCAGGCAACCAGGCTGGCAAGCAGGCAGGCAAGCAGGCAGGCAGGCAGGCAGGCACGCAGGCAGGCCGGCAGGGAGGCAGGCAGGCAGGCAGGCAGGCAGGCAGGCAGGCAGGCAGGCAGGCAGGCAGGCAGTCAAGCTGTCTTACAAGTGCATGTTAAGTCGGCACAATATGTGCCACGGTGGCAGTGCACGAGGTTTTCTGTCTGGCACTCTCACGTGCTTGGTCATTCAAAGTGCTGGCAAGCGTAGGGTGTTGGCAGGGAGTTGTTTCTGGTGTCGCGACAGGTTGATGTGTTCCGAGCAACCGTTGCGCAGAATGTTCTCGTCGGGAGCTACTGCAGCTTACCTGCAATTTGTGAATCCTTCGCTGCACCCGAGCAGGCAGCACATCGACAATCGTCTGTGCTGCAGCGGGCTGTTGATGAGTTAAAGTGTCCATGACACCATCTTCGCCCCTGCTTACGCTGCTCATCAGCTATACCAAGCTTACGTGTTCAAGGGGGGGTGCGTGCGACCCCACAATGTGGCCCGCAGAGCCTGCACTCTTACGGATTCTCTCCAATGCCGGCATGATGCATTCACATTCAAGGCATCACCCAACAAAGAAATGGATGGACGAGTTTTTTTGACGCCAGTCTTACAACTTTTTGAGCCTGACCCAGCATGCACCGTTGAAGATCGGATTCAAGACTTGGCCCGAATGTTGCTCTGCAAGCTGCAGTGGCTGTCTCCTTGAATAAATGGCTTCATGCGAAGCAGCTGCAACAGCGTGCCACAAAAGGTGAATAGCAATATTTGGCGCCTTGTTGTCGCGAGTGAATCTACTACTTCATCTACATCCCGCTCGTGCCACCACACTCCTACAAGTTCAAGCCCCCACCAGATTAAAATTGTAAAGCTGCTTACACATGGGGTGCATCATGGTGCATTGAACGAATATCTTCGAAACACTTGCCACATCTAGCTGACGAAGACATCGAGATCAGAACGAAGGTGCTTGACGAGCAGGCAAGCTCCAGATGTCATCCCCAGAGTGCAAGCACGGTCTGATCTAAATGCCGGACAGCAATGCATCTGCACGCATTCCGTGGGCGGCACTGAGCATTAGGCAGGACTTGTGATGAGTTTGACGAAGAACAGTACGATAATGAGGGAGGAGGAGGAAGAAGACTTGATCGTGATCGTCGCGAGCACGTGCCAAGGGTGCTGAGGCACCTGCTCGCAGTTCCAGGGCTGCGCGAGCTGTAAGCATGATGCCGGGAGCAGCGCATTTCCGGAACGGTGGCCAAGCGCGTCGGCTTGTGCCCGCTCCATTTTGCTGCCTGACCCACATCCAGGCCCATCGTCGCCCTCCTCATCACTCCCTGAACTTGAATCGCATACCACTGTGCAGATGGCAATGCGGCAATGCAAAGGTGAGAACGATGGAGCATAGTCAAACAAAAGATGAACACACAGTGTCGCTAGAAGCACAAGCGGAAAACAGATTCGAAGACCGTGTCAAACAATGGAGTTGAAGCAGTAGATGCGTGCGTGCCAGCGAGCTCATGGCACGAGGACATAGATGACAGCAGTAGCAAGATCTGACGCGACATTTCAGCTTGCATGCAGACGCTCTCGGAGATCCATGAGTCGAACCGCTTCATTTAGACATCAGGCGCATTATGAGGGTCGAAACTGCACAGGGCTTCTGGTGGCTTTGTCCCTTCATTCCCGAGCTCTTACTGTTGGGGTCTGCTGTTGTGCGCCCTTGGACCCCCTGCCTTTCCACCTCCTTTCACTTAGTCCCACTCTATCAGTGCCATCTGCACCAATGGCCCACCCAAGCCCAGCCGACACCTGGTGAAAGGCGAACTAGCAAGCACGCACCAGGTATTATGCCTCTGCTTCAGGATTGTGCGATTGACCATGTGCAGCATACTTCAGGATGTCTGTAGCCTGCAGCTGTTAGTGCCCATCGTACCTGGTCATCCACTTGAGGTGTGTTGACAAACCAGGCTCGTTTGCAATGCATCAAGTTCGCTTGCCCTTCTTTGAGAGCAGATGTGTTTGCAGACTACTCCTGCGGTTGAATTGAAGAGGGCTAGTTGGTGACAAGTACCGAGTACGGCCTGCAGCCTGCAACCAGGGTGGTCTCGTACACGCGCGGACGCCCATGCAAGACATGGTGTCTTCGGCCAAAGTTGGATAGGCTTACGGTGCTTGCGGATAGCTCGGGTAATGTGTGAGCCACAAAGCCCATTTCGCAGGGCATGCGGCATGTGCGAGTTGGGAAATTCACGCTAGACTTGAACAACACATGGCAGGAGGAGCTCTCCCAACTCATTCAGGCACCAGTCTTTGCCAAGCATGGCTTTTTGAGGATTGTCCCGGCGAGGTGCCGTTAACTGCTGGCACCGTGAACCGTGGCTCTGCTAGGACCTCAGGTCGCATGGTCCCGTGTCGCAGCCCTTGCAGCACAGCGATGCGTTCGTGTCCAGCCTAGCTGCCTAGCTCGGCTGCGCTGCAGGACATCATTGGTGCTGGTGTAGTTGCAAACGACTGGGCTGCCTTTTGCGGTTCAACCCTTGGGACTTGGGAGGGTCTAGGCGTGAGTTTTGGCCAATCTTGAATGTGTCAGCCGATGCTCGTCTATATGCCAAGGCATGGACACGACCGCGACGGAGATTGGGGTGTTCAGCTTAGTGCAGAAGCGAATTGGTGCGTCATCTGGCTGTACGGGATTTCTGCACCACCTGCGAGGTCTTAGAGAGCATCTTCAAACTGCAAAGTGCAGGTGCAGGACCTCATGTACTGCTCGTTGGCGTTTGAACTGCCTTTGTTCATTCAGAGCATCTTCATGCGAAAGAGCAGACAGGAATGCAGAGCGCCCTTATCGACACAATCATGTCGTGAGATCAATGACTCGTTGCGACTGGGAAAGCCATAAAATGCTTTACCACCCTCGTGGACATGCTATGTTAACCGAGAGGAAAGTCTGTGTTGCTCTGGGTTGAGCCACGAGGTGAGTCTCACACGGATCCACATAGCAGCTGTTGAGTCTGCATGCCAGAGACGGGTGCAGCAAGCCATCCTACTCCTCCTGGTTCGCGCCAACTTAGTTCTTATGGCTCTAGTTCGAACACTTCGTTTTGTGTTAAATCCAGGAATGACCTGGGGTTCTGATTTGCAGTGCCAATGGTTCGCTGGGAGCATCGAATCGTCGAAAGCTCTGGCCGAGCATGTACAGCTGAGTGCTGCAGCTCCTCTCGAAGACGCTGTTGTTTGTGGGTGCGGCTTTCTTCTAGGCACACCCACGAGATGCGCGCAGGAAAGGAGCAAAGCCTGTTCTGGCCATGCAACACTTGGACAGCATCGGCACCAGTGACAAAATGCTGTGTTACTGTATTTTGACAGTCGACATTGCTGCCCCAAATCTCCATTGTGCACCACCAAACAGTGCGCTTGCAAAGCGGTTGACACTGGTGGCTTCAAGAAGGGTTGCTGGGCTCACATCAACTGCAGTGTGCCTGGACTGCCCATACGTTCGCCACTCAGATTGGTGATGCAACAGAGACTGGAGTCGGATCAACTGCACGTTCTGGCGTGGTATATAGTGGTGCAGCTAGCACCCCCTGGTCACTGTCAGGCCGCGGTGGGCGCTGACCAACGCCCTCGAGCGCGTGCGATGTTGGAGCCCAGTTTCAGAGGGAAGGAGTACACATCCGCAGGTACTCAGTGTGCACAAACACATATGCATATGTATTTCTGTATATTCTTTCTCTTTGCACATACACATACGTACATACATATGGTATATACATATATACCTGTGCACCTGCAGTGTAATGGATATGGACACAGAGAGACAGAGAGGAAGAGGTGGTTCGCTTGAGAGCCCTAAACCGAAGCAAGCAAGCGAGCGAGCGACCCAGCAAGCGACCGAGCAAGCGAATGCGAGAGAGAAAGAGAGGGAGTCAAGGCAGGTGCGCGTTCGCGTGCGGGGCGAGGGGTCTGACCTACCCCAAGCCCCAAGCCTGGCAGAGAGAGAGAGAGAGAGACCCAAGGGGGTGCGCTACTGCGCGGGCCACGAGGACTGCTCGTGGTCCTTACCCCAAAGCAAAGCAAAGACCCCTAGCAAAGCAAAGCAAAGACCAGGGGCCTGAACCGGGGGCTGAGCCCCTCAGAGGAAAATCTTGGGGGGGAAAAGGTCAGACACCTGAGGACCGCAGCTCCGCGCCCACGTGCAAAGTCTGGATCTGGACGCTTCCGGGCTCGCCGCCTGGTAGAGAGAGAGAGAGAAAGA